ACTTAAGGTTTTGTTGTACCCGCTGTTGGTGGTCGAGTAACTCAATAAGCAAATGTAAATTTCTTGACACCATTCTATTCCAATACATTTTTAAAGCCTCTGCCTCGGTTTAATAATTTAACGGGAAAATTTATTTAATCAGGAGTGTCTTATAACAAATCCCATTTTCTATGTAGCGTTGAGTCGGCTGTCTTTAACTGAAGAGTGATTTTCTTTAATCGATCTTCAACAAGTTGTTCCTTAAAAATATTCCTCAATGGAATCCACATGATCAACTTTTTGGTGAATAATTTATGAGCCTAATAAACCTAATATTTCCTGTCAGTAGAGGATTCTAACCGAAACTGGTAAGTCCTTTTGTAAAAAAGTAGCGAAATTGAATGATCTGTAGAAAATAATTGTCTTAACTTGTTGTTAACAAGAAAGTACGAACTCTCCCGCCCACAAGTGTCAATATGCGATTTTGCGGTTAAACGAATGATGATAAAATTTTATTATCATTATAAGATATACTTTTGTTTTCGTAACATTCACTTAAAAAATATGTGAATGCTTAAAACTGTCACATTTGAAGCTGAAAGGTGTGAATTAGTACTTAAAGATACTTTTATTACAGGCTTAAACTGGATCAAAGTAAAGTGAAGTGCAAATTATCTTCAATTATCTTCAGTGGTTTATTCTGATTATTATTTTTTTTACTATTACATTATTAATGCATTTTGGATTTCAAAAGAAAAAGTAATTAGATTTTTCAGGTAGAACTCAAAAACAAGGAGAATGCACCGAATGAAAGGTTAGGAATTTGTTAAGGAGCTTTTCCTGTATATTGCTCTCAGTACAAAACGATATATCTTTCAAGTATCTATTTTATTCCAACCAACAAGGAATGTTGTGATATTGCTTGGAGTGTCTGTTTTAAACAATGCCTTCTACAAATGAAATGTATTTTGTTCTGTGAAAGTCCCATTACTTGTATTAGCAGTGATAGTGCAGGAAGTGAGTTCATTGGCGAAGAGTTTTAAGATTTTTTTCCGTGTTGTGTACGTTTGCTCTTACTTTTTGAGATTATATTGGCTGGCTCAGCGAACATGTCGTAAATTAGAAATTTTGTGGATTTTGATTGTTTTTAGCACCCTCAAAAGTACTTCATAGTTGAAAACGATGATTCATTTGTATGCTTGTTGTAAACAACATCTTTTGCAACAAATATTATTTTGATCCGGTTGTCCTCCTTGTCCTTTACAAGTTTGATCTGCAGAGCTGTGTAGATGAAAGATAATATTTAAAATAGCTCTTAGATTTATGGAAGTGGCAACAAAATTAAAACAAGAAAAAATAAAGCAAGCATTCAAAAAATCCTCTTGGACTTCACTACATATAGACTGACTGAAGAATAAAACTCCACTAGAATGTAACTGGATATCACCAATGTGGACAAGAAGACAAATCGGTGCTTGCCAATCAACATTGTTGTGCCTGGAGATGATAACCTCGCCAAGAAAGAATTTGGAAAGATAAACAACTATGCTAACGTCATATTGGAAGCAGAAAGGATATAAAAAACACAACTGTGGTGATCCCTGTAGTGATTTATTACACATGTAGAGAACTGGATGATTAATTGACATTACTCCCAAATCTCCCTACTTTCTTGATGAATGAGGATCCAAGACAGTATAAAACTGGGTTATTTTAGGAATCAGTCAGCAGGGTTTTTGTCCAATACTGCAACACTGTGACGTCGCAGTAAAGAATAGCTTATTTTTGTTTGCTTCTTTCAGATTCTCGACCTCCTCAAAGGGGCTCTCCAATGGCATCCCCGCTCAGGAACTCTCCAGTTTCCTTTTCACATAGTACTGACGTAGACAGTGGCAGCAACTCAAATCTGCAGTATCACTTCACTGACGTGGCCCATAGCAAAGACCTTGTGAATGCTCTCAAATTTTTGCGTCAAGATGAGGACTTGTGTGATATTGTTCTTAGGGTTGGTGGTACCAATATTTCAGCACATAAAGTTGTGTTATCTGCAAGTAGCCCATACTTTAAAGCAATGTTTACTGGTAAGTTGCCTGTTATTTCAGTTGCAACACTATTAGAGGATTAATAAGAGAAAAAGAGACTCTTTGCCACCCCTCCCCCCCACAAATTCCTTAAATCCTGCCTATACCCCTGCACAATACCAAATGGTGCGGGTAGGGGTAAAACCACCACCTGGTTAGTTCAGTTGGGAGAGTGCCGGTCTGCTGAGAAAGGGGTTGCGGGTTTGAACCACAACTGGACCAACACTCAGGGTCTTTAAATGACTGAGAAGAAAGTGCTGCCTTTGTGATGACATCTGCAAATGGTTAGAATTTCTTAGTAGTCTTCTTGGATAAGGATGAAAAACCGTAGGTCCCATCTCACAGCGCTTACATTTATCTGTTCAAAAACCCAAACCACTGTTCGAAAAGAGTAGGGGACGTAGACCCCGGTGGCGTGGTCAACCTCACACATCATTCACATCATGGGTTGGATGAGCACAGTAACCTCATAAAAAGTGGACTGATAGTGGCTGCCAGTGGTGCCTTTGTATGCTGACGTCAGAGCTTACTGTTAACATGTTAATATATATTGTAAAGAGGGCACTTCTGTTGTCTCTCATCCATGACTCCTTCCTTCTTTCCTTCCTTCCTTCCTCCCTTCTTTTGGGGATGAGAGAACATTTTATGAAACAGTTCATTGAACAGAAGTTGCTTTCTTCTATTTGTTACATGTATATCACTCTAAAGCGAAATCAGGAATTGTTTGCAGAAAGAGTGAACCCTAAAGATCACATTCCACCATAAACAATCACCCTCTGACGATGTCAGCTTAGGCAACATAGGAAATACTTAACTACAGTTTTAACTTTGGAGGCTTGCTGTTGTGGTGTGATCATTCAATAATACCCTATCAGCAGCATTTTATCAAAGGAGTTGAATTTTTTTTGGCCTTTTAAAGTTTATTAGAATCAAGTGGGTTAAGTCAGGAATCAGTGTACTTTTAGTTTTGTATTGTGTTTGTAAGCGATCATGCAGCATTGACCAATAAAGTAAAATCTCTTTTCAATTCTCAGGGGGCCTATCAGAGAGTCGACAAAACACAGTGACGCTTCAGGAACTTGATGAGCATGCAATGGAGACCATTGTGGACTTCTTTTATAGTGGTGAAATGGAGATATCAGAGGATAATGTTCAAGAGCTGTTACCTGTAGCTTGTCTGCTTCAAGTGCAATCTGTTCAGCAAGCTTGCTGCGAGTTTCTTAAAAGGCAGCTTAGTTCAGAGAATTGTCTTGGTAAGTTGAGTACAATGCAAACCTCTAATAAGTGGACACACTAAGGACCAACACGATTCTACCAAAGGAAGGATCAAAATTGCAGGGTGGTCCATGACTAAGTAACCTCTTGTATGAGGTATCCATTAAGCTTGTGACATATATAGAGGATATTACACGGTGGCGAGAAGATATGAATTTTATGTTCGAGTGGCAAGAACAATATCTCACGAGTGAGCGAAGCGAACGAGTGAGATATTGTTCTTGCCACGAGAACATAAAATTCATATCTTCGAGCCAACGTGTAATGTTCTTTTTATTATATGGAGAAACCGAAACAAAAGCAAAAGGCGGGAATCGTGACGTCATTGAATGATACGACACTCACAAAGGTGACATACGGAAAATACGCCACTCGGGTCCCGGATGAAGTGGCGTATGGAATCTACGAGTGGTTTAGTTCCCAGTAAAACACCCTCCTCCATATAATAAATATGGTTTAACTTTTGTTGATCAACAAATACATGTATTGCCACCCTGGCTATTCAACAAGTTACAGCTTGTTGAATTGAATTCACCCATCTCTATTTTTGTTGAACACTGGTTAATAAAGTTTAACATGTTAATTAAATGAGCTTATTCAATAGTCAACATAATATGATACACTGTGCAGCATTTGTTGTTGTTCAATATTATTTTGAGTCACTTGCTTTAGTGGTGGCTTGACTTTAGATTGACTAGCATTTTTCTGGAAGCCAGAGTGTAGAATTGAATACGTGTACAGTACACTTTTGACTTTGCTGTCCCCATGAGTAGTATGCAGGAAGTGTGTGTACTGTCTTTGAACTCAGCAAAATTTAACGGCCTTGCTCTCTACAAGTCTGTCTGAGCTCAGCTGACAGAGCACTGGCCGAGTGTTAAGGGAAAGCCCAGGTTTCAAATCCTGTCAGTGATCAAGAGTTTTTTTTTGTTTTACCCAAGCTCATAACATGATCTTCAAGTTGAACCTTCATCAAGCATTCATCCGTGGGGAAGGGACAAATGTCCACTTAACCCTTTAAGCGCTAAGAGTGATCAGCATGAAATTTCTCCTTATAATATCAATACTGTAGAAATTAGAGTGGTCATGAGAATTGAGTGCATGATCAGTGAATATGGGTCTAATTGATATTTTAACAAATTCTCCCCACTACTTCTGTTGAAAAAGTATAAGAACAGTAAATGAGAATCTCAATTTTTAATCTTAGGGTTTTAAAGGGTTAATAACCGTTCTGTTTATAGTGATAAACTGATAATTTTTGTCCACTGGGAGTTGGGAACTGGCCACTGAATCGAGGGCAGCCATTTGATAGAAGGCCATCTATTAGAGTTTCAATGCTATAAAAATCTTCACAAAAATATGCCAAACATTTTTAGCGAGATCATCACTGTAATTAAGGTTTTGAATACATTGGTGTAAATTACAATTTATTAGATGGTCTTTATCAATTTTTCCTTTTCTTATCATATTTTTTTTTATGCAGGAATTGTTGCCTTTGCTGATCGTCATAACTGCGCAGAGTTAGTGACGGAGTCAGAGTCCTTTGCAAGGCAACATTTTATCGACGTTGTTCAGAATGAAGAATTCATGGACATATCAGCCAAGCAGTTGTCACGGCTTCTAGCTAACGATGATCTTAATATTCTGTCTGAAGAGCGCGTCTTCGAAGCAGCTTTGGCTTGGATTAAATACGATCCTGACGTTAGAAAGGTACATTCACATAAGGACCAACATCCAATTTCTCCTTATGTGTCACGCTTAATCTAAATCAAAAGCAATGAGAATTCAGGAAATGATCACCAAAAGTGAATGAGGATTTCGTGCTAAGATGGTCTTGGGATTCTCTATACGAAATTAGATTGTTTTGTTGTACGACATACTGCTACATGAGAAATTTCTGCAATTTGATTGGCTTAGAGCAGTGGTATTTCAGCTTAATTTGAAATACCTACATGTGAAAATTACAAACCTTTTGTGGGTAGTAGTATAAACAAATAGTAGCATGATTTGTATGTGATATTTGGCATAGATACCACTTGTGATATTTCAAAATTGTCTCAAATTTCACTCGCCTACTGGCTCGTGAAATTACGTATAACAACTTCCAAATATCACTCGTGGTATTTATGCCAAATATCACGAACAATCATGCTATTACCTATACTAATAATATCTGAACACAAGTTTGTTAGGCCATGCTTCTTTTTCGCGTACACTGAAACGCATCTAAAGGTCAGCAACCACAACAGCATTTTCGCATCATTTTCAGCCGTCCACACAAAGGACAAAGCCATCAAAAAACGCATATCTGGAAATATGTGTTAATACCAGGCTATCTCAGACGTGTTGTTTCCAATTTTTCGCGCTGTTGTTTGCTTTTACCGGCGAAGCCGGGTAATGCATGAGCAGCAATAAAGTCAGTTTACTCAAAAAACCTTTGTTTTTGCCGTTCACAGTAAGAGCTGTAGACCTTCATAATTATCAAAACAACCATTTTCGAAAGCGTTTTCGATAACCTCTGTTTTTTAAGGCTTTAATCTGGGCGCAATTTCAAAACGCATTAAAATGAGTGTACATAGGATCCATAGTGTACGTTTTTACCATAGTACAGTGTAAACGTGTATTAGGCGCTCTGATTTGACTGTTGGTTCGTTATTTGTTTTCAGGAGTCCGCATCCGAAATCCTTAACAATGTCAGATTTCCTTTACTGTCGCCAGAATTCTTATTCGATAGAGTTGCAACAGAAGAAATTATCAGAAGTAACAGGGCTTGCAGGTAAAGTCAGTGAGAGCTTTATCCTTGCTGTGCATTGAGTGTTTGCAATCTGATTCGCAGTCTCAATGGTAACTGGTAAATGTAGATGCTTTGTTTGTAGTGGGAAAAAGCACTTGCTTTGGTAGCTTTCGCGCTAATTCACAGACACTCCGCTTAAATTATTAGAAACAAATAATGAAATTAAGCATTACAGGATGAAAAAACCCTAAACTGGCAGAATGCAGCCAGTTGGCTATTTATTAGCGTGGCCAAGAAGTTAAACAGGCCCGGGTTGCTCGAAGCATGGTTAGTGCTAACCAGCGTTAAATACCATGGAAACCTATACATTTTGATACCTCTTAACCAACGGTTAGCGCTAACCAGGCTTCGAGCAACCGGCCC